GAGAGCCCAAAAAGCAAAAATTGTGTCTGAGAAAAAATACAGCTCGATGTAGACCTGGTCCTGGGGTCAGTTAACCATGCTTTGATCTCAGTAGAATTTGATTGTAGATAGGAAAGAACAAAGTAAATTCCTTACCAAACCTGTAGCCTTGAGAACCTGTCATGGTTTCAGCTGCGATGGACTTAACTTTCTCGCTAGCAGCTGGAATAGTGCTAGCTTGTAGATTTGGGATGAAGATAGTGTTGGTAAAACACTGATGTTTTTAGTTGTCACAAAGCATCAAGGCCTTTTTTGCTCCTCACACCACCCTACCAGCAGGTAGACTGGGAGGGCACAAAAAGTTGTGAGGAGACACAGCCAGGACAGCTGACCCCAACCGACGAAAGGAATATTCCATACCATGTGATGTCATGCTCAGTATATAAAGCTGGGGGAAGAAGAAGGAAGGGGGGGGATGCTCAGCGTTACGGTGTTTGTCCTCCCAAGTAACCATTACACACAGTGGAGCCCTGCTTTCCTGGAGATGGCTGAACACCTGCCTGCCGATGGGAAGTAGTAAATTAATTCCTTGGTTTGCTTTGCTTACATGTGTGGCTTTTGCTTTACTTATTAAACTGCCTTTATGTCAACCCATGAGTTTTCTGACTTCTACTCTTCTGATTCTCTTCCCCATTCCAACCGGGGAAGTAAGCGCGCAGCTGCATAGTCCTAGTTGTCCACTGGGGTTAAACCACAACAGAACCAGAAGGCCAGAAAGAAGCACTGTGGAAAACTTGAAAAAATCTCTGGAGACAGCACAGTAAATCTGACTGTGAGCTGAGACCCAATTAATATAGATGCCATTCAGAATAGTGCTGTTTCTCCCAACAAGAAAGGTGCATTCTTCCTGGCAATGGCAGGAGGTCGTAGGAACTCTCTGCTGATTTGTCTGTAAAAGCCAAACCAGATGACATGAACTGGAGAGAGGAATGTCAAGTGACTTTGACTAGCTAAAAAAGCCTTCTGGCTATTGATCTTCCACAGTGAGTCAAGAAGTTTCTCTAAGCAGAGTTCATGTCTGTCCTGGTTTGAGGTAAAACAGAACATCCCCAGTAGCCGATTTGGCCTAAACCACGACAATGTCCTGGTATTCGTGGGAGCAGACATCCCCCACATCCCAAAGGGTAAACCCCCAAGGGCAGGAGTCAGTCTCCCTCTGTCTTGCATGGCTAGACTTTTTCTAACATTAAAAAAAAAATAACAAAAAACACAATAGTGATTCTGTAATATTTAAACAGTAAACTATCACCAAAAATTTCCAAATATGACCAGAATAACCAATTTCTTTTTTTTTTTTTTACTGATTATTTTTTCAGACTTTGTTTGGAGTGTGGCATTTTACAACATCAGCCAGGACTTTTATGCCTCAAAAAACAACAGAAGATTCCATTTTTTTCAATGCTTTTCTTTTGTTTTTTTTTCTTTCACTTAAAGTCAGAAATGAATGAAGCTGCAGGAGCCCTCTGATTCAGTTAGAGTAATCTCCTGTGCAACACAATGGTCCCCAATGGCAGTCCTTGTTTTTTTCACCTCTGACAGGAAACCCATAGTCTAATTATGCTTTTAAATGAACATATTGTTATATGTAATATCTCTTAAGTGGGACAGATACTGCCCTTATAATCTGAGAACTGACAAGGTAGCCCCTATATGGAACATGTATGTTGTACAAAGGAAATCTAACAGCAGATAAATAATGTATGTATTTAATCTTTTCGTAATTTGCTTTCATTTCTGAACTGATGATACTTCATTAAATAGTAAAGCAGAAAGAGTGATGCCTAAAGAAACACCAAAGAAGAATCAGAACATCAGTGCAAAGTAGCTTGGTAAAAACATCCTCCTCTTACAAAGCGATAAAGACAGCTAGAGACATTTAGATAATGAAGACTGAGGAAGTACTTACAGTCTTGAAAACTTGCAACTTAAGAATAATGATGAGATATGCATTACCCTTGTTACATACTACCTCTCTTCACATTCAGGTGAAGAGTAAGTAAAGTTGGGCTTTAATTCCTTTTTCTGTGCAATATGTATTTTCTGTTACTTTACCAGGCAAATCCCTGTTTACTTGTCAAGGCGGCAAAAGCTTAAGAAAGCAAGAGCATATAAATTTTTCTGTATATCCTTACAAAAAATCCACCCAATTTCGGTAATATCTTTTAAAGAAACCACCCAAGTAAGCCTGGCAGACCCTGCATACTCAACATTGCCAATGTAAATTTGTATTTTCCTAGGACAATTATTATTTTACAGGCTGGTTCCTCTACGTAGATTTATTTATGCTTTTACACCTTCCTTGGGTAAAATTCTCACTGAATTCACTGGGAATTTCTCAGAAGGAATGAATATTTCATAATGCTGTGAATCTCAAACCAGAGTGGATTTCTTAGTCACAATTTTCTCAATCAAAAATTGACATTGAATTTGATGAAAAAATGAGTACCACAAGTATTTCAACACGAGATAGGAAGTCCTGTTCATTTTCAGAGACAAAGTAGCCACGCTTAACTTTTTTTTTTAAGTATTGATGAAGAATTACATTTCTAACTGATGGAAACCCTGTCGAGGTCAAAGGAAATTTCTGAATTTATTCTGTGTGGGAAGGATGTTGCTATTTTGCTAAAGGTAGAGTTTTCTGCTACATATACGCCCTTGAAAACTATTAGTGCTCTTTCCAAGATGAGAGACATTAATTTTTCATGCAGTAAATTGGACTGATGCATTTTGAAAATGAAATATTTCAAAGACCCTTTTTTGAATTCTCCCAGTGACAATTTAAAATATTAATAAATCAATAAATGTGCCCTATAAAGATCAATATAAAATGGACCTTCCATCTTCATTAGTTCTTTACACCTGTGCATAGTCGGTGCTAACTAACAATCAGAATAATAGGATTTTTCACAGCCTCTTTCTCGAGCATAAAGGGCTGCAGCAGGTGGTGAGAAGAAAAAAAATAGGCCTAGGAAGTCTGATGCTAATAATTCAGATGATCTACAGCCTCCATTGATTTCAACGACCTGATCCAATTTTGACTAGCTAGGAATCTAACACCTTCAGATTAACTTGCTGTCATGATGAGCTGCTTTAAAGAAAAGAACAGTAGATCTGTGTTACCTGCTCTGCGTACACACCAGAGCCATTAGTGAGAAGCAGCAAGTCTGAAGGGTTGGGACAACTCCTTAGAGTCTAAACATTACACGAGTGGCCAACAAAAATGCTAATTAAAGAATAAATTGGCCAAGCTGCTTTACAAACTGACTCGGTGTCCATGTCCTGAAAACTTCAGAAAGCAAAGGTTAGCTCTAGATTTTAAAGAGCACGTTACCTGATGTTTTTGTGGATCACCAGTGCTGTGGGAACGCATAGCACCTGGAACGTGCCCATCACCAGGAGGTTTCCCTGCCCCGGTGCCAGGGGAAACATGGGACATGGCCAGCAGCTGAGCACTGATGGGACCATAGCCATTGGAAGGCCGATGAATGTTGTTGGAGGTAGCGGCTACTTCATCTTCGTCACCGGAGTCCGTAATCAGGATAAACTCAGCCTTAAAAAGGTCATTCTCCTGCATTTCTCCTTTGCTCAAGTTACTCCCCAGGGACTGGAAAGATGTTCGGGTGCTGTCTGTACGGATGGTGGACACGCAGTCTTGTTTGGCCCCTCCTTTTAAGGCCAGCTCGTCAGAGACTGCATTAGACTGCAAAAGACACAAGGAAAAAGATACCAATTAGCTGCATTTTAGTTGGGTTCCCCAAAATGTGAAGCAATTTCCGCTTGCAGCAGTGGCTGGCACTGCGCTACCAAAAGTGCAGAGGGCGAATGAAGAACTTGGGCATGAGCACCCAGCAGAAATCAACTCCCCAGGGAGCCCCCCCCACTTCCAGCCCCCCGGCCGATGCTGCTGGGGCTGCCCTCACAGTGACTCACAGAGCACCAGGGGACTCTGAGAGACACGATGGCCCGAACCTGGGGCTGGCGCGGGAACCGAAAAGGAGGGTGCAGTCAAGCCGAATGAACTGTCAGACCAGACTACGCCAGACACGGTGGGAAGGCATCCCAACTGCCAGATCCACGGGAGCGGACAATGCTCCTCAGAGGAGACTGACAGACAAATCTGGGACAAAACCTATACATATTAATGAAGAAACAAAGGCCTTTAAGGAGAGCGTTCTCTGAAGAGAGCAGACAAAGAATCTGAGGTCAGAGAGCTTTACTGTATGTTCAAGCTTCTTAGCACAGACCACAATTGTTCTTCATATTTTCTGCAATTTCCACTTGCAGTATGTAACTCCTCAGGCACGCTTTGGATGAGAGCAGGAGTAGCGCAAGCTGGGCATACAACACACACATCACCAAATCATTCAATATTGAAACTGCTGTGGTAAATCATATTTCTCTGGAAGGAGGAATCAGGTAAAAGTGTAGAAGTATTGTGTCCTGCAAAAGAAAGGCTGTAAATGGGGCTCATATTTGAATCCTGCTTGAGGAATAGAGTAATGACAAATTTCCACCGGCAGCTCCATGATCTCAGTTCTTTAAAAAAATATTGGACCATAAAGGAGGATACCACCAGCACGAGTTTGGAGGGGTTATTTTCATTATCTGGTTAGTTGGGGTTTTTTAATATTATTTTTTTTAATATTGTTCAGGTTCTAGAACATTTTAGAAAAGGGAGTAACCTGTACTATGAAGGCCTCAGTACTGCATCAGCTGCCAGGAAATTTTCTCTGCCAACAGGGAAACACAGGGAAACAGAGGTCAGGAATATCTAATTCTGCCTTACCCAGGGCACTACTTACGGCAAAACTAACACTGAGTGGCTGGAAATGTAACTCATGAATTAAACATCCTGAGGATAATATTGCACTGCATGTCTCTTCAAACATGCCCATTCTCTGCCCAGACCAACCCATTTTTTGGCCAGATAGGCCACTGAAAATGCTGGAACCCATTCAGGTCAGAGGACTGTGAACTACTGTGAAAAGTTTATTAACACCAAAAACTGCAGCCCCAGCAACGTCCCAGGGAAGGAGCTGTTACACAAGAGCAGAATCAGCATAAGCATTAATATTAATCTGAGGGTTCCAGCTTCCTCTCAAGCAGCATGGAATAAAATAAAAGGCTGCTAAAGTGTTGTGAGGCAGGAAAGCAATAACAAACACTATGGGCTGGCTAAAGGCAGGAGAACGAGGAACGTTGTGCTGCTGCGTCACCGTCATGGGAAATCATGGGGACAAGCTTTCAAAAACTAAGAGCAAGCTTTCATTTTGATGCATTACTACCCAGCTATGAAAGGGATTGGCACCTTTGCTGGAAGCTACAGCACTGGCATTTGCTGAAACCAGGATCCAGTGACCACCTCTTGGTCAATTCCCATGTGATAACACTCCTCACACACCACCCTTGCTCCCATGAAGATCAGGAAGGAATTCCCCCACGTCTGCCAAGAATATAGCTCTTGCATGACTGACAGAGAACAGTATTGAGATGGACAAGGGTTTCCTTCCAATATAAACTCTGCCAAAAGCAAACCAGGCTGTTGAGCAGGTATCAGACTTCTCTTGCCCAATGATTCTGTATCTCTGGTAGGCTTGGTAATTAAAATGAAACACAAGCCAACAAACAGTTCAAGGGAAAGACCTTCAGTTCAGTGATGCTCAGGACGAAATTTTCTGTATCTTTTGAAAGAGTGGACAAATTAGCGCAAACAAAAATCTACCTTATTTATAATTTCTTGATTGCTCAGATCCTTTGGATCCTCTGGAATTGTCACAAGGAACTTAGAGACATCTACAACCTCAAAATGAGTTGGAAGTCTTCCAATGGACGGTATGAATGTGAAGGTCAGTGGTTTGGTTCCAGAATCTTGAGAGGTGACCTATAAAACACACAATTAGTTCAACTTTTTGTCCGAAAAAAAAATATTTTTGTCAGAGTTGAAATAACATTAATTACTTCATCCACATAATTTACAAGTCTATTATTAACTATACTGGTCATTGCTTTTTTTTTTAACAGGTCATTGTATATTAAGGTCATCTTTAACAGACAGATTCTGCCTTGATTATACGCATCATCATCCTATATATTCTAATGGTATGGCACAGCAGACAGGAGAAAATTTGTTCAATAATTTGTTATTCTTTTAATATTGCTTACTAGAAACAGAAAACTATGAAAACTATGGTTTCAATTAATTTCCAGGCTGCTTTTATCTTTGTTTAACTTCACTTCAGTAGAACAACAATGTAATTATACTGCTGTATCTGGACATAATATAGCCCCTAGAGTATTTGCTTAACAACTTATAACAAATTGGAAGAACCTTTGCTCTGCAAGAAGAAAGGAAAACATGTTTACATTTTCTAATGCAAATGCAGCTAATTCTGAAAAACGTCTGGGATGAATTCTGATTCAAGTAAAGGATTTTCTTCCATTTTCTTTGGGCCGTTCAGCCACATACACCAACTAAATCTGTGTCTTTCTTCTCATCTCTCCCTCCCCACCTTGCATTCTTGCTAGGACCGTGTACGTAGGGCCTGAATGCACGTACCATGTACGTAGGGCCAGAAGAGAGACCAAGAGAAGGCAATTTCACCTAAACATTCAATTTTATGGCAGTGCTCTCCCATCAGTTCCGTCCCCTTCACAGGAGGTACTGGTCAGGAAAGAGAAGTCCACATCATGGTGGAACACTCAGTTGTTTTGCCAGGTATCAGGAAGAGGAACTCCAAACACCTTGGCAAGGTAAATAGAGGGAACCACATCCCAAAAAAGTGAGCCTGATGTGCTGACTTTCCCACTACTCATTCGTGTAGAAAATTCTTCTTTCTGATTCAAAAGTATGGAATATATAGATTTTCCCTTGTTTTAGAATGTGATTTAAAGCTTATGGCAGTTAATTTTGTTTTCAAAGAACTCTAATATGCAGAACCTTGAACTGTATTGAATCATAGAGAAAAATAGCACCATTGCTTTGACTCTTTTTTTTTGGCTTACTCATTTAAAGTGAAACAAACTGGAGAGCTATGGCTCTCATTATGCTTCCTAGTAATTTGCATCCATAAGTAAATAGCAATTACAGAACAGAGTGGAATTATGAAATACATTCACGTGACTTGGTCCTCTCACAGCTGGGACATTAAAAATGATAGATATAAATTTCCAGTTTTAAAAAAATCTAAGCAAATATTAGTTATTTCCAGTGACAGCTGTCTCCTGGAGTTTTTGAGCAGAACAGAGACAGGTTATTTATATAAACACTGCCAGCTGCTTTCTCTACAATTTAGAAGAACTCTGCTCTCTCAGACACACCCAGAATACATTTCTGTGTGTCCACCTCTAATTCTGAATGAATAAGGTGTTTTGATGTTAGACGGTGAAAAATCTGAATAAACAGCAGCCACTTCAGTTCTGAAATCGGGCCTTTACGTTCACAAACTCACACAGGTAGTTTACGTTGCACTGCAGGCTCGCAACCCAGCTGGAGGAGTGCACTGCAAGGGTGCAGGGACAAGGTGGTCTCCTACTTTTCCCCCCTCCCCTTCACGCCAGTGGCCAAGCACCAGAGCACAGGATGCATGGCCCCCCATGCAGGGGGGGATGGACTAGATGATCTCCAGAGGTCCTTTCCAACCCTGACCGTTCTGTGATTCTGTGACCAGTAGCAAAAGGGTGGCTGTTAACTGCTCCACCACTCCAGGAGCTCTGGATTTCTGTGAGGGAGAAACAACATAGCTCTGTCCTTCTGCCAGCAGCCAAGGTACCCGAGCCTGATCATTGCTCTTCATAAAGCAGCAACACAATTTTAAAGTATTAATAGCTGGCACATTAAACACTTAGTCCTTGCTCCTGATACAAGTCAGCAGAGTAAAATCAGTACTCAACGAGGTACTCATTAGAGAGCAGCCGCCAGTCCCCACAGTGCAGCCAGGGGTGCAGCCACCACCTGAGCACCTGCTGTACCCAGAAGTGCTCTTCAAGAAGCAGCTTTACCTGCACACAGGCAGGAGCACCCATCATAGTAGCGTTAGTGATTTCTGTACAGCTGACACTGTCCGTTAGAGTCTTACACAGCACCTGGGTCTCCACTGAAATCAGCTAGAGATGGCCTTTGCTTTCCTGCAGGTCTGTGGCTGTGTTTTCATCTTCTCTCTCTGATTAGGAAATGCAGTTAGTGACTCTGGCTACCTTGGTCATCTTTACTAACATTTTCCCCCTCTACCTTACCCTCTTGTCATGCTCTTGTGTGACGCTTGACATCACTTGTTTGGTATCACTGAGTATTTTTGTGTCAGAGCACAAGATATTCCTTATAAAA